TTTCTCGGACATGACCGGAAACAGTCAACACTAGCCCTGGATTCGTCAGTAGTCACGTTCACTTGAGACAGCAACTGAGAGTTCTGTGCGCAATAAATCTCTCCCACAAGCCCCTTCTGTCTTCTCTTCCAACTTGGAATTTGGCTGGATGATTGTAGTGCTCTGAGTGCAAACACTGCTTTGACCTCTGCATAAATTAGTGATATTCAAAGTTACCCAGGTATTCAGATGTTCGAAAAATCAACCCAAGTCGGCATTGTGTTAGCAGCCTCGAACATGCGACGCACAAAGCAGTCATCGGACGGTAGCATTACCAACATGCCCAAGACATACGATGCTCTGAGGAGTACCATGTTCTTTTGTTTCTGAGGTGACAGACAGAATCACTTGCGAGGTGAGACATTTTGATTTTGCGAAAGGCATTAAAGGGCTGATTCATCGAAAAATTCGCGAACTTCAAGTCTCTCGAGGACTGCTATGTTTAGAACTCAAAGTACCGTCCCACTAGTACAATAGTTCAAGAGACTGGTTTTTCAGCAAACCTACAACGTGAACGAGAAGGGTCTCTAACCTCGGTTATCTTCGGTGGTATTGTTGGTGGTAAATCTAGATGATCTATGCGGATCTCGGGAGTGGACAGAAAGAGCGAAAGGAAGTGAGGGAATACGCCCTTATTTTGAATGAAATATTCCAAAATGTTCAGCAGAAAACTTGCCTATCTACGTGGCCATAAAACCAATCAAGAAAACTTGCAGGATAAATCCCACAGAGTACCCATGAAGTTCCATAAAGAAACCGGAAAATTTATGGATTTTGTGCACTTTTCCTTCAGTAATTTAAAAATATCCGCCCTCTAGACTGATGGCTTTAGCCTTCGAAAAAATGACATTTGAACGGCTTTCTGGGGTCTGTGCATAAAATCTAAAGGCAAACTACTATTCTTTAAGGGACGCCTTTTCAAACAAAGAACTGATCTTAGTCCTTGAAAAAAGTCGGTATAAAAAAGACAAACAGGTCAGTATCAATTTGTTTTATTGGATTCAGGTCGCAAATGCTTAGAAATTACATGTTCTTTAAAAGAAAGCGTAGAGCACTAAACTTATGCAGATTCTCCGAAGACATCTTGTCATCTAGTTTGTTAAAGTCCAGTGGAGATAGCTCTAATTGTTGTGATTCAGAAAGTTTGCCTTTCCAATTTTCTCCTTTGGCAGCTGTGAGTTCAAGAGCAGAGTTATCCATGATATAGTCATTATAGAAGACACCTCGGAGTGTGAAGCCGTTGGGCCACTTGTACATCCCCCTCCCATGGAAACTGAAATTAAAATAAACGCACCACTAACCACTTTTAAGTAACATTAATAATAACAATAGCTATAATAGATGTACCGCACTGAGCAAGGCGCTGAAAATCATCGGTTTGAAACGACGACATTCGACTCTCTATCTGCATCGAGGGTAGAGTCTATCCGGAATTTCCACGCAATAAATTATTTGCAACTGATAGGAATCCACTCAGACACTCCTTCCGTAGACTGCAGTTTTTACTTATATTTTCAGTTATCCGAAACCGCATCATTTAGCCAGACAAGGTAGCCTTCCTTGATAATGCGTTCCAAAAAGAATCATTTAACGACAACATTAGTCATGGCATTACTGAATTAGGGAATCAATGAATCAAAACGCTGCTATAATAGACATACATTTACATACCATATGCGTTTCACTCCTGCTGGACATGTCCACATCCCCAACGTTCAAATTCCCGACCAATCAAAAGGGTGGCGAATATTTTTAAATTTAGCGAATAGGCTATTGTGCGTGCGCCCCGCCAATGTTTCCAGCCTGTTTCTACGATTACTCGCAAATCACTGCAACTGCAATGGCCATTAAAATTTGGTTGATCTGTAACTATTATAAATGCTAGAATACTCTAATCCTTCTTTTGGATGGAATTCTAACTAACCTGAACGGGATGCAATCGTATTTTGACGAAAATAATTTGCAAATAGCAAACGATTGCCGGTGATTTTTCATTACTCTGTTGATGGATTGGTGCAATAGTCGGGCGCGCATACCGTGAACGTTGCTGTGGGATACAAGGAAAGCTCATAATAACTGTCGATAGGTAGAAAACGGAAGAAAAATTATTTGGGCCACCCATTCACTGACTAAATTCTTAGGTTCCATGTTCTGCTAGGGTTTGGTAATTATTACCCCAAATATTCTCAACAAATAACTGCAAACGCATATCTTTTAAATGTTTTATCACTTTTGACAATTTCTCATTTGACATAATTTCTCGTTTTAATTTGATACCTACAAAGGATGCAAATTTTTCCACCAAGGAGATTATGTACCAGGGTGTTTTGCAGCCTAGAAACGGAGTTTTAACATTGTAAGAAAGTCATTTGTAAGATGTGAATGAACAGAAGATATCTTAATTCATAACAGTCATGGACTGTAAATTTTAGTTAATATGAGTTGACCCAATTGCGAAAAAACTCGAGGCGATCGGCGGGATTTGAACCGAGCGTTGGCCTCCGGTAGAGGCCTCCGCCGAACGCCTCAAGTTTTTTCACAATTGGGTCAACCCAAATTGAGCAAATCTGCCAAAACTCCTAATAATTATGTCAGCCTAGTAGTCATTCTGGTGCATTCTAGATGATTGCTTAGGAAACCCTGCTTGGGCAGTCAGCTTGCTGTTCCATATTGGTGGATTCCATGTGGGCGGTAAAGTTGGGCGGGTAATATCGACCCAAGTGTGATTAAATTCATAGCGCGAGGCAGGGCGTTTGTAACTTTGCGGTTAGACCGTTGGCTTCCGGTAAAGGCCTTCTCTGATACGCGGGTTCAAATCCCGCCGAACGCCTCGAGTTTTTTCACAATTGGTCAACTCAAACTAAACAAATCTGCCAAACCTCCTAATAATTTAGTTCATATTTTAAAAGAACACATAGAGTTTTCTATTGCGGTCAGAGTTTAATGAAAGAACTTGGGCTAAACTCTGCATGCTTGGGTATGTAATTGTAGAAAAGCAGAATTTTCAGAAGACATTTCTCTTGATCCACTCTGCAAAAAGACCGCATTCCCCTAATAAATTAGTAGCAGCTGTATGTATGAAACTTTATCGCAAATTTTGGCGTTGACAAACTATGTATGTTTTGGCACTTCAGGGGGTCTGCAACCCACACCAATTTTAAGGAAATTGTAACCGTGTTTCGGCATTATCATTAACAGTCACGAGATTAAAAAGTACTCAGACACGCCAAGCTTTTACAGCATCTTGCGTTAAAAACTATTGCTTTCTACGTATAAATACAGCCAAACATGTAACAGAAGTCGTTGCACATGCACAGACTAGCGTTTCGTCGGTTTCAAAAATCCACACCATTAAACTGCATGGCGGTTGATAGAAAATGAATTTTGAAAGTCTACATTCGTTCGTATGGCTGTGCTAATTGGACATATCAGGAACATTTGCTCAAGTTATCTATTGTTATATATTCTTTACTTAAAAGTTAGGTTGTTATGAAGTACAGAGTGTGGAAAATGTCCTTCCGCTGCATC